CAGTGACTGTGGAATGAATGAGTGACTATCCACTCCAAAGCAAAGAGAGTATTTAATGGAAAAATAAAATATATTTGTACAAAAACAACTTTATTAGAGCCCATCCATCCATGTATATAGTGTATATTGCTGTGTTTAACAATTGAAGTAGCAGAGATGAGTAATTGTGAGGGAGGCTTATGGCCTGGAAAGCCTAAAATATTACAGAAAAGTTTGCTGACCCATCTTCCTGATGGACAGACTGAGGCTCAGAGGGTTGACGTGTCTGGTCTAACTTGTACAGCATTTAGAAGCAGAATCATAGTTCAAACGTAGGTTTTCTAACATGTCGAATGCCTTTGGATATGGTTTCCCCTATATTTTTGCCCCTTTGAAAGGATGATCCTGTATAATAAAGAGCTAGTATGCAAATGGGCATCACACTGTCACACTGTCATGCCAGGGCCGGGGGACCTGAGGCCCCACCCCCTACCCCAGCGCTGGGCTGGGGGACCTGAGGCTGTGCCCCCCCGCCCTGTGGGGCTTGACGGGGGTGGGCCGGCTGGGTCTGGGTCTCGCGCAATTTCGAGGAGTGTGTGGGTGGGCGGGGACTTGACTCTGGGTCCTATGGTGCACTCCAGGAGGGAGATTTTCATATACATTTTACTAATTTTCTTTCATCTCTGACACTTCTATTATCAAGAAAGGGCAAATAGCAATATTAAAATATTTCCTCTAATTAATTCCCTTTTAATGTGCACGAATTTTGTGCACCAGGCCACTAGTGTTACTTATAAAGTACTTATTGTCTTCCCTGTTATTGTAAGTACTTTCCTTGTATTAAATCATTTAACCTCCATGTTCAGATTGGGGTGAGGCAGGAGCTGGTAAACAGGGACCCGAGGTTGAATCTAAGCAGCTGTTCATTTTTGTAAATAAAATTTTGCCCTGGCTGGTATTTTTCAGTGGATAGAGCATTGGCCTGTGGACCAAAGGGTCCCAGGTTTGATTCCGGTCAAGGGCCTGTACCTCGGTTGCAGGCTCCTTCCTGGGCTCTAGTCGGGGCTCGAGCAGGAGGCAACCAATCGATGTGTTTCTCTCACATCGATGTTTCTCTTTCCGTCTCTCTTCCACTTTCCCTAAAAATCAATGGAAAAATATCCTCGGGTGAGGATTATCAATAAATAAGTAAATTTTTGTTGGGACACACCACGCCCATTTGCTTCCTGTCTTTGTAAATAAAGTTTGAGCCCACCCATTCAAAGGCGTCTCCTCTGTGGCTCCCAGGAGGGGGGAGATGAGCAGTTCCCACAGAGCCCGTAGCAGCCTGGGAAGTGTGAACACATGTTGTCTGGCCCTTTACGGAGAAGGGCCTGGTGGTGCTGGGACTGCTGATCATTTCACCATCATGAAATATTTCTTTTTTGGAGACAGCAGGCTGCACAGTCACAGAGCCTGGGAGCGAACTGTGAAGACTGGAGAAAACGTCTGTAGACCCTTCTCCAAACGCGGCGTAGACAGCAGTGTGTCTCGTGCAAATGTGCAAACCCCGGGCCTGCCCCGCTCTGCGGAGTCACTGCCTGGCAGGGCCTGGTCGTAGGCAAAGGCATGAAGCCAGGATGGAGGCGAATGTGGGAAAGGCCAGCCTGGAACACACTACGTCCTCCCAAAGTGTTGGCTGAATGGATGAGATCACGTTAGTTGAGGCCACAGTTGTACCAGGAGCTGCTGTGGGTCTGCTCGGCCGTCACTCAGAAGCTCAGCCTCTGAAAAGCTCCTCTGATCCTACGAGACATCACTTCCTGCATCACAGCAAACACTTACTTACGGCTGAAAAGGACACTGCACAGCTGCCTCCTGAGTCCCCTGGCCGCGTGTTCACAGTTCGATGCGCACAAGCCTCTCTGGGCTGAGTTACTGTAGTTTTACTGAATTCTCAGGATGCCATGAGGTTAGTTTTGGTTCTGGTTCTGGAAAGCGATTCCACGTGGGGTGCGATTTGTTCCTTTCCTGGGCATGTTTCGCTAAAGAGCCAAGAAGACACGCGGTTGCTCCTCTGGGAACGGGAGGAGGAGGGAATACGCATTAGTCCGTGAAAGTCTTGAATTTATACGATCAGACTCGGACAGAGCACACTGGGCCCAGGCAGAGGCATCCTTTTTGTTTCTTGTTGTCAAATCGTCCTTGGGTGACGCCTGTCCCTTGGGGGCTCTTCGCCTGCTGGGCCTCCGGTGCCGTCTCTGAGGCCAGGAGGCTGCAGGTGGACAAGCCGTGCCCGGGCCAGTCCTGGGTCCTTCCCCGGAGTGGTCTCTGGGTGAAGCTTCTAGGCGGAACCTGCCAGGCGCCCCGACAGTGTGGGCAGGTGGTCTTTCCCTCCGGGTCCCTGTGCAGCTGCCCCTCTCACTCTGGGCGGCTCCCCGGGGGCCTCGGCTAGGCCAGACGTCAACCCTCCAAGCCTCAGTCTCTCCATCAGGAAGATGGGTCAGGGCGGAGGAGGAAGGGCTACTCATCCCAGGCCTTCCTGTTCCAAGGGGCCAGTTTCATGGAACCCAGATGCTCCAGTCACTGACTGCCATGGCCATGGCGATGGCGATGGCCCAGGCCCAGGAGCCGTGCAGATGTGGTATCTGCTTCCCATCAGCACGTGTAAGATGCACGTCTTTGACTCCCTCTGGGTCCATCATGAAGACGCTGGTGCCAGGCGAGCCTGGATGCCAGGCCATTGGAGAAAGTCACACCTTCGTCTGCTGCAAGCCAAGAGCTGAGAGCCAGGCTTTTTTTTTTTTTTTTTTTTTTTTTAATTTGTTTTTATTGGTTTCACAGAGGAATGGAGAGGGAGAGAGAGAAACATCAATGATGAGAGAGAATCATGGATCGGCTGCCTCTTGCACGCCCCACACTGGGGACAGAGCCAGCAACCCAGGCATGTGCCCCGACCGGGAATTGAACCGTCACCTCCTGGTTCATAGGTCGACACTGAGCCACACCAGGTGGGCCAGGCTTGTTGTTAATGAAACGATTCAGTTCACACAGACGGCATCGGGTTGGTGGAAACAGCGTGAGCTGTGACCTAATTGTCTGAGTCTCAGTTTGCTCCTCTGCCCAACAGGGACGGGAGGACGGACAGGGATTATCTTATTGGATCTTGGGGAAATGAGGGAGGGACAGTGAATGAGATGCTTCTGATAAGTTAAAATGTGTTACGTAAGGCGACGTGAACTGTCAAATAAAACCACGACAGTGATAATTCCTGGAAAGATTTGCAGTGAGCAACGCAGATAGGCTTCCCTGTGAATGCTCTAAGGATCCGAATCGACGCTGCCTGCAGGTGCAGCACGAAATTAGCCTCCATGCACCAGGTCAGGGAGACCTGCTAAGTCCTCTCACCCATTGATTGAACCTGTGTGAGCATGTTCAGGCTCACAGGTTAAAAAATGAGTGGAAATCAGTTTTCATGCATTCCCTCCCCCACAATGTCGCCCACTAAGAACGCCTTGCATTCGTGCGGTGCACTTGTGGCAATGAGCCAATGCTGGTTCGTCGCTGTTAGCTGAATCCCGTAGTTTACATTCCATGGGTTTCGGCAAATATGTAGTGACATGTGCCCACCCTTGTAGCAGCACACGGATCACGGCCCTGAAACACCCCGCACGCCACCTACTCGTCCCTCCGTCCCTCTCCCTGGACTCCTCGCAGCCACTGAGCTGCTCCTGTCTTCCTAGTTTTTCCAGAATGTTCTACAGCTGGGATCTTATCCCTTGGTACGCCTTAAGCGTCTATAAACACAGTTAAATTCAAAATATCGTGGCGTGTGGGGATGGATTCCATTTTGGGCGCGTGGCAGTTAACTGGTTAATAGTGTGTGGCCTTTCGATACCGGCTTCTTTCATCAGTAACGTTCACTAGAGTTTCCTCCATGTCTGCTGTGGCTGGAGAGCTCGCTTTTCATGACTGAATGAGCTTCCACTGCCTGCCTGGACCACAGCGATGCGCCCGCCACCAGCTGAGGGCAGGGCTGCCTCCAGGGCGGCCGTGGTGAGTGCAGCGGCGCAGGCTCCGGGCAGGTCTGTGAGCTCCTGCCGGCCAGCTCCTCTGGGTGAGCAGCCAGGAGCATGGCCGCTGGGTCCCGCGGTCAGTGTTTCCTCCTGGGAAACCACGACCGGTCTCAGGGTCAGTGCCATCTGCATCCCCACCCGGAACGCGCATTCCTGCTGCTCCACGTCCCCCAGCGGGGGGCGTGTCGCACTGGAGGTCAGCCTTCCTAACAGGTGTGCGGGCCTCCTTGTTTGTTTGGTTTGTTGTTGTCTGTTTTTTTAAATATATTTTATGATTTTTTAGAGAGGAAGGGAGAGGGATAGAGAGTTGGAAACATCAATGAGAGAGAAACATCGATCAGCTGCCTCCTGCACGCCCCCTACTGGGGATGTGCCCGCAACCCAGGTACATGCCCTCGACTGGAATCGAACCTGGGACCCTTTACTCCGCAGGCCGGTGCTCTATCCACTGAGCCAGACCGGTTAGGGCGTTTGTTTTGTTGTTGTTTTTAATTTGTTTTTATTGATCTCAGAGAGGAAGGGAGAGGGACAGAGAGAGAAACATCAATGATGAGAGAGAATCATGGATCGGCTGCCTCCTGCACGCTCCCCTCTGGGGATGGAGCCTGCAACCCGGGCCTGTGCCCTGACTGGGAATCGCACCGTGACCGCCTGGTTCGTAGGTCGATGCTCAACCACTGAGCCACGCTGACCAGGCTCAAACCCCACCTTGGTAACGGGGCTCCTGGCTGTTGCCATCTGAGCGTGGGCCTGTGGCCGCGAGTGGGCTGGGTGCCTGGTGCTGCCCCAGGCGTTCCTGCCGACTGGGGTCACACTGTGTGTGCCAGTTCGCGGGCACAGCCAGGCCGGATTGGGCCACGCTGAAGACATTCCTGTCGTGTGACGCAAGCCTGCTTGTATTTTGGGTTTGCCAGGACTAATGAGTTCGAGCATTTGGCCTCTCCGCAGTCGCTGTTCATCAATGCCTCTGACAGGAGGAGGGCTGCACCCGCCCTGCTTTTTCTAGAAGCATGACCGCATCCCCGCTGTCGGGGAGGCGAGGGCAGGAGGGGTGGCAGCGGGAGCGGAACAGGAGGCCCGGGGGACACGGGTCTGGGACAGCAGGTAGCGGAGCCGCGGGCAGCTGTCGCTGCTGCTCAGACCGCCAGTGGCCGCGGCAGGTGCAGGGCTCGGAGTCTCTGTGCACAAAGGCGCCGGGCGGCCAGCAGCGCTGCCCTGGATTACACGAGGGCACACACCCCGCCGAGTGAGGTAAGGAACAGGTGTGCCCCCGCTCACCGGGCGGGGCACAGCCGGCTGGCCGAGCTCTGCCGGCCGAGGCGGGATGGGAAGGCATCTGCTCTCGGCCCCTGGTCCACACCGCGTCCCCGACTTGGCCGCCGCCACCCTGGAGGCACAGATGTCTCCGTCGTGCGGGGAGAAGGCCTGTGTGTCTGTGTGTCCCCTCCCTTCCCATCTCTGGAAGCCACAGAGCTGGGCGGACTCCCTGGTGCAGGACGCGCTGGGAGCCCCGGCCAGGAGGGAGCCCAGCTGCGCATCCTTAGACGTGGTGATGGTGTGGCCTGCGGACCGTGACTTTTTTCTTTCAGCCACAAGGTCCAGGGGGTTTTTACAGTTTGTTTTGTTAAATGTGAGACAGTCTGTTCTGCTCCCAGGAGCAGGTGGCTAACAAGACGCTGGATTCCAGGCAGACCGGGCTGCACAGGAGGGAACGTCAGGGCTCAGAGGAAACGCTCCCGGGTCGAGAAACCGATTCCTGCCACCCTGTCCCCAAGTTGGATGCTTCATGTTCCCACCCTTTCTAACGTAGAAGGACAGGACTTGGGTGCCCTGGGAGCCATCGCTCTCTGCAGTGCGAATCGATTGGGCCAAGTGTGATTCTAGCTTCGTGCTAAGCAGTTGGTGTTTCCCCCAAAGCTAAACAAGGTGGAAAAAAGCCTGTTTTCTTTCCCGATTCCGGGCGAGATGGTTCCGTGTAGGTTACGTCTCACGCGCGCACACGGATGCCTTCTCTTTAGCTCTATAAATAATTGTGAAGACAAACCCAACGTTCAGGCACTATTTTTAGGTGGAGAAAAGCTATGGGAAAGACTCAGGCCCTCCTGTGAGAAAGTGCTCTGCCGACGCGGTTCCCAGAACCCCGCGGAGGGCGCTGAACGATGATTTATATTTTGCCATTTTTGGAGACATTTTCCTTAAAATACCCTTCAGCGCTTTTTGGTTTGCTGTCTACATGGGAAGGAAAGCAGAGGGTTTAGGGGAAACACGACTGAAAACAGAGAAGTTAAATATATGTACTTAAGGAACCAAGACATTTATAACAACATCTTTTCCTGGTGCCAGTGAACCAAAGCGACCACACACCTCGGCTTGGATGTATTTGGGCACATGATCTTATTGTGACAAATGTGCTTGCCCACCTGAGCCCCTCTCATCTGTGGGCTATTTTCCTGTTCGTTCTGCCCTCGTTCGTTAATTAAATGGTCATTTCGTGGATGAGGTAGAACATCAGGAGGACGTGTGCAGGTTTTGTGTTTTGAACCCTGCAGGCGAAGACACGCAACCTCAGAGATGCTGGCAGGTTCACAGGAGCGAGTCCGGTGTGTGACGCACACGCTGTTCATGCGATGCCTGCGGGATATTTTAAAACAGCCCTTGTTACTCTTCAAAGGATCCCCCATGCTTATCCTTTGCCTCCTGATCAGTCATTCACACCCCACAGACCTTGGAGCGTGGGAAGCGAGCCCAGTCTAATGGCGACCGCCCCCTGCCCTAGGACCTCTCCCCTCAATTAAAAACGAGGTGCAAGACCTGCAAGACCTGGAGGGGCCAGGGCTGGGCTGGTCAGTGTGAAAGGATGCGATGAAAGTCCTGTATATGTCACTCTAGGTGTATGTTACAAAGAGCATTGTTGGGTCAGAAAGAGGACTTGCAATGGGGCCGGGACACTGGATGCAGCGAAGGAAGGCCGGGGACTGAGCCGTCTTTACAATAAGAAAGCGACGCTTCACCACGCGCTCCCCCACCCCCTGCCAAGGCCCCGCGGGTGGCAGAGACCTGGGCGTGATGAAGCCTCTTGTCCCCGCAGCTGGAAGACCCGGGGGACGGCCGCGGCTCCGGCGCCCACATGCTCAGCACCGCCAGGGTTCCTGCGGATCGGCCCGTGCGCATCGCCTTCAGCCTTGGCCAGGCCTCAGGTGCGTCCTCCGTCCCCTCCCGCTCCCCACGCCCCCCCCCCCCCCCCCCCCCGCGCTTGTGCAGGGAGCCCGCTGACCTTGACCTCCTGACCTCCATCAGGTCCCGGCTGGGTGGCTTCCCCGTCTCTCATTCTTCGGTCATTTCAGTCCATTTTCTCTTCTTTTCTTCCTTCCCCACGTCAGCTTCCTTCTGTTAGAGAGTCATGGGCTGCACTTTCCGACCACAGCCACGCGGGTCGGTGCTCAGTCTGTTGAAAACATCGCGATCTCGGTCTCAGCTCCAGCAGCGTCCCCTGCAGCTGAGCTGCCGGGGGTTCCCACGCGCGGAGGGAGGGGTGGGGAGGCGAGTCGGGGTGAGGCATGGGCAGGTGAGGCGGGGTGGTGTGTGGGCAGGTGAGGTGGCTGGTGCGTGGGCAGGCCAGGCGGCCTTCTCCAGGTGGCGAGGTTGAGGCGAGGCCGCCTGCACAGAGCTCCCTGTCACACTCCCCTCAGGGACTCTTCACACACCTGGAATCGCACCCCCTTTGACACGGACCTGGGGTGTGGTCACAGTGGTGACATTGGGAGGCGTGTATGCCCAGCGTGCCATCTGTCGCCCTCGGGCAGTGTCGTATCCGTACGTGTCATACGTAGGACGTCCCCCCAGTGAACACACACACTTGGAATAACTCTAAAGGCAGGGTTCATTAAAATACATTTCACTTTCAAAATTGAGGTATCAGCTGTGAAAGTGTGTGCACATGTTTGGGGACCCCTGCTATGGTGTATGTGTTACGTATGTGTGCACACACGTGTACACATGTACACACATATGACATGTAGGCCTAGGTGCAAACAGCGTGGCCACCTAGACCTGTCTTTTGAGGGCTGGTTGCTTCTCTGCCACTCCATCCACCGACCTGTCATCTCCCATCACCCCGCTTTCCTCCCGCGGTGCCTGTGGGTGACACTGTGACCAGCAATGACTGAAGAGGGACAGGCCCATCCCCAAACGATGCCGCCCAAGCAGCTGGGCCCCTGAAGTCCCTGACCCGCAGCGCCCATCTCCAAAGGCACCTTCTAACGCGGGCGCCCGGGCAGGAGCTGGCGTTTGCCCACCTTTCTCCAAACAGGCGCCCGAGAGCCCCCGTCAGAAGGGTCCGGCCCAGATGGAAGCCGTGTCTGCAGCCTGGCGTGTGCAGGGCCTGGCTGCGCGGGAAGAGGCTTTGTGCATAGTGGGGGCGCCCTGGGACTTGCTGGGTCAGGGGTGTGCAGGTCACGCCGGGCAGCCCTTTGGATTCCAGTGCGTGTGGCGCACACCCCCCGAGTTCAGGGGAGCACCCAGACCGTCAGGACGTGGGCACCGAGGGGGACTGTGGGGAGCTGTTCATAGCCTTGAACTTACTGTTGAGGAGTCAGCAGAGTCCACGGGGAAAGGACTCATTTCCTAGGACCCTCATTCAGTGCTCCTTCCCTCCGCCATGTCACGTCTGTTTTTCTTCTTCCTCCTCCCCCTCTTCCTCCCCCTCCCCTCCCCCCTCCTTCCCCTCCCCCTCCCCCCCCCTCCTTCTCCTCCTCCCCGTCTTCCTCTTCCTCCTCCTCCCCCTCCTCTCCGTCCTCCTCTCCGTCATATTTCTCTGAGATGAATTGGGATAGAGATTAAGAACATAGGGCTCTAGCCTCAGCAAGGCAGGGCTTTAGACCTATTTCCATCACAATGGTTTTGATTTTGTGTAAGTCACTGCACTTGCTGAACTGCAGTGTTTGGTGAGATGTGTGAGATGATTGGCAGCTGTGAGACTCGCGTTCGCCCTGTGCAGGGGAGGCGTCTACACGTGCTTCCTGCAGATTCCATCTCAGCTGTCCCTGCACCTGCATCTCACCCGTTACCCACGGTCAAGGCAGAGGCTCAGGACCAGTGGCCAGGGACAACGAGGGGCCAGTTAGCCAGCCGGGGGCTGTGGTGTCCCTGCTCCCCCTTGTCCCTGATCTGACCTTTACTTCGTTTCTACGCTCCCAGATCTGCCCCAGGTGGGCGAGGCGGCAAGAGGGCAGGGCACGACTCTCCCTCTGGGTTTCTTGAGGCAGAGAGTGGGGCCTGTGATGACAGAGCAGGTGCAGCCGCTCTGGGAGAAACCTGGTCAGGAAGAGCAGGATGGGTTCCATAAACACTAAAACCCTCGTCCCCCGGAGAGAGGGCTGAAGGGTGGGAAGTGACCGGCCATTTCCCAAGCCTCTCTGACCCAGGACGACCATGTTGTTATACCCGTTTTACGGATGGGGACAGTGGGCTCAGGGAGGGTAAGTAACTTGCCTCAAATGGCAGCCAACAAATAGCATTGAAAAGGGACTCGGCCCATTTGGAGGTGGGTCCCCGTCATAAAAGAGAAGCCCGGCCTGGCCAGTGTGGGTCAGTGGTTGGGCATCGACCTATGAACCAGGAGGTCACGGTTCGATTCCCGTCAAGGACACAGACCCGGATTCTGGGCTCGATACCTGGTGTGGGGTGTGCAGGAGGCAGCCGATCCATGGTTCTCTCTCTCATCGTTGATGTTTCTACCCGTCTCTCCCTCTCCCTTCCTCTCTGACATCAATAAAAACATTTAAAAAATAAAAGAGAGACACACGAATGCTCCTGAGAGCTGTGGGGGGTGACGGAGGAAGGTCAGTTCTGATATGTTTTTAGAGGAAGAAGAGGGGACGTAGAGGTAAATTTCGTTTGATGGTGAACAACTTCCAAGGGGCTCTTGAAGCAGGTGTTTCTGGGCAAGTATGTGCTGAGCTCATTAGTAAAAATATTCTTGCAGAAGGATAATTGATAACAAAGTGATAGCAGCAATAATGGCGACCAGATGGCTGCTCCTAAGAAACGTGAAACCTGCGCTCAAACCTGACGCGGTTCCCGGGGGAGAACACCGCGGCCTGTTTGACGCTCGGCTTGTTGGCCTGACAGCGCCAGGCCCTGGCTGAGGCCACATGACGATTAATATTAATATTAATATTAATGATAAAGAATTGGCAGTCTGCCAGTGTCATCCAAGTCTCTGCCTGTATCCATATCTGCATCCATATCGATAGCCCCATTTGTCCCTGTATCGATACTTTTGATTTTATGCAGCTGGAAACCTAGTGTGGAGTAAAGAATTCACATCTCTGATGCTTAGTGAGCAGGAAGCAGAGATGGAAAAGAGCCTTTGATGTGTTTCAAAGCGATGTGATGCTCTCATGAGAAGCCAGGCATCCAGACCTTTAAAGAAAGTTGTTTGATATATTATTAACGTGGGTTGGCAGCCTTATAGCACTTACTTTATTTCTATAAATAAAACATTAATCTCAATTTGGATTTAAAATGAAAGTGCCCGAAGTCCTTTTGTGCATCAGTTAAATTGGGGGCAATCTTTCATATAGAAAGTGTTTGCTTTGATAGGAGAGTAACAGGGAGACCGTTCTACGTTGAGATTTAAATAAAGAAAGTTCACCCCAGGCCCAGGGCGATGTCCCTTCACTGGCCTGGAGCCCAGGAGGCAGGGCTTTCTGTTCTCTGTGATTCGGAGGAGGAAGGAGGGCCGCGTCAGCCACTGTGGGCCGAGCGCGCGCGCACACACCATTACCCCTTTTGTCCGACTTGTGGTGATGGAATGGAAGCTAAACTTGATCATATTAAGCATTCATTGTTATTATTATTATTATTACTGGTTATTTTCTAGGCTCCTGGCTGTGGGATAAATGATGGATGTCTGATCCCTTTACTGGCATCTAGTTCCCGGGACAGGGAGTATCGCGCCCATTTAGCAGAAGGGAAAACTGTGTCTCAAAGAGGTCACGCTGATACTCCACGTTCACCACCTGAAGAGCCGACGATCTCCCGTGCAGGCCTGTCCACTGTATGTTGCACTGACCCGCTGTGCCCTCAGCGGTCAGGGCCTTCAGAGGCGAACGTCCCCAGGAACGTGTGTGCGTGAGCCTGGGCACTTCGCCACGGCCCTCACCCGCTGGCCTGTGAGTGTGTGTGTCCCTGAAGGACGGTCTCCGGCCACCAGCTCGGGCCAAACTGCCCACAGGACCAGCTGCAGGGTCTGGGGGCCGTGCGGTCCTGCGGGCTCCTGGTCGGAGATGGTGAGGAGTTGCAGATGCTGTGGGCGGAGCATGCCACCTGCCTGGGCCCACCTGGCCCAAGGGCCCCGTGGGCGGCTGCCCCCGCGGGACGCGCAGGCCGATGGGATGGAGTCTGAGCAGGTGCCCTCAGGCTCCTGGCTGGGATGGGAAGGAGGTGGGCTGTCCCCCGAGCTGGCTCCCCCGGGCTCTCCTCTGTGTGGATCGGGTCTCCTGGCCCAGCCCCCGATTGTGCCTGGGATGGGGGCCCCGGTGGGGGGAGTCCGGCCGGGATGCCGTCCAGAACAGGGGCTCAGACCAGGTGTGCACACCTGGCCTGGTTTTGACGGAGTTTTCACCTCTCGGATGGAAAACAGGAAATAAGGACACAGCAGCGAGGACTTCTTAGTGTTTGTTTTTATCTACAAAGTACGTTTATCCAACAAATGGACTCGCTTCTGGCCCAGGGTCATGCTTGTCTTGTGAATCGAGTGTTAAGTGTTCTCTCTGTCACGAGGGTGCTGGTGACACGATTCCAGGGTTTGGGGAAAACTGCTGAGGCTTGAGACGGCCAGCGTGTGTGCCGCGGGGGTCATGGGCCAGAGGGGAGGAAGGCAGGGGCGCGGCGAGAGCCCGGCGGGACACCCCCTGCCTCTGCACCAGAGGACGGTCCAGACGCCGCTCAGTGCCTCCGGCCGCGGCAGACCCCAGGTCCCACTTCCTCGGTTCAGGGAGAATCGTAGCTTTAAGGAACAGACCAGCCGGCAGCTGCTCAGAGGCCCAGATGCCGTCCCGGGCACAGGGCGGAGGGTGCCGCGGAGGGTGCAACAAGCGCGCTCTATTTTAAGTGCCTGGACTAGTCCATCGCGTCTGCCCACGGGCAGCGGACATCTGCTTGGGAAACGCTCCTCTTTAGTCTCTCCTTCGGGGCTCACCCTCAGCAGTTTCCTGGGCCCTGGCGTGTCCCGCCAGCCCCCGGCACCCTCTCGAAAGGAAGCCTAGGACTGTTTCCTCGACACATGAAACTAGGATAAGGCGACTGGCCATGTAGCCTAGAGCCCGGCGCGGCATTCAGTCAATATTTGGCAAATACATAAATTTTTTTAAAAAAATATGTTTTTATTGATTTCAGAGAGGAAGGGAGAGGGAGAGAGAAACATCCATGATGAGAATCAGGTAAATAAATAAGCATTAATCAAATACACTTGCATCCGATTTTGCTAAACAAACCCGGGAGCTGCTTTTCTTTTTTTAAAAAAAAGGGAAGTTGGCGGGGGTGGGGGAGGCTCCGATGGCTACTGTACAGGCCACCTTGGCTTCCGGCATCGCGGCCGGGCTCTCGGCTCTCAGGAGCCGGTCCAGCGCCGCCGGCCAAGGTCCCCCGAGCTCAGCCAAGTGTCCGCGCAGCTGTGTCCCCGGGGCTGAGTCATCTCCCTCCTCCCTGCCGGCCCGGCCTGTGACTCATCGTTCCGCTTTTAGCATATTTGCCTATTTTTAAAACCAGTTGGAGAAGACAGCCACTGTTTGAGAGTAAACAGGCCACACATCACCGCGGGCGGCTCCAGGCCCTGGCGCTGCCAGCGGCCGGGGTGCCAAGGCAGCAGATGGCCCGGGAGGCACCCGGCTGGCTCGCCTCCTCACATCTGTCTTGGGTTTTCTCGTTGCCGCGGCCACTTCCTGCTTGGATTAATCCAACTTGATGCACTTTTGAAACTAAAGTCTGACTTTTATTCTGCTTGTAAAATACCAATTCTGTATTTATTTCTCCGTCAACTAATCAGGCTTCCCTAGCAGCCCGAGGCTGAGCCTCTACTCGCTGCGAGCTCGTCAGTGTGGTCACGCAGACGTGCCCGGCGCTGAGACTGAACCAGGATGTAGATTTCTGTCAGGGGCTTCGCCGATTCTGAGGCACACTGGGAATTTGCTATTTTCTTGGCTATAAAAGTGAATTCTTTTTCCCCCAAAATGTTTGTTTTTACTGATTTTTCTGTAGTTTTAGAGCAGTGGTTCTCAACCTTCTGGCCCTTCAAATACAGTTCCTCATGTTGTGGCCCAACCATAACATTATTTTCGTTGCTACTTCATAACTGTCATGTTGCTACTGTGATGAATCGTCATGTAAATATCTGATATGCGGGATGGTCTTAGGCGACCTCTGTGAAAGGGTCGTTCGACCGCCAAAGGGGTCACGACCCACAGGTTGAGAACCGCTGTTTTAGAGAGAGAAGGAGAGGGAGAGAGAGATAAAACATTGATGAAAGAGAATCATTGGTTGGCTGCCTCCCGCACGCCCCACCCTGGGGATGGAGCCCACAACCCTGGCATGAACCCTGACCGGGAATCGAACCGTGACCTCGTGGTTCATAGGTGGAGGCTCCACCACTGAGCCATGCCGGCCGGCTGTTCTTTTTCGTTAATCCTCATCAGAGGATACTTTTCCAGTTAATTTTCTAGAGAGAGTGAAAGGGAGGGAGGAGGGGGGAGAGAGAAAAACATCGATATGAGAGAGACACATTGATTGGTGGAGTCCCAGGGCCCGGCATCAAACCTGTAACCCAGGTAGGTGCGCTGGACCGGGAAGCAACCCTCCACCCCTCTGGCTGACACACTAACCACTGAGCCACCAGCCAGGGCCAGAGCCCTTCTTCACTGGGGAACAACCAGAGGCGTTTGCAAAATGCTGGTGTCGGCCCGTGGCTGGACCCTCCTGTGTGTGTTGGCCGTGAGTGCTGCTGTCCTCTGCGTCCTGTCCGTCTCCAGTGAGGGGGTGACTAGTGGGGTATTGGTGCTGGTGGCTCAGCTGCCGGCAGAGGGAGGGTCCAGAGTGAAAGTCTGATTTTCCTTCCAGATGGCGCCCCCCCGGAGGACCCCTCGCTGCTCTTCCCGGAACTAGACCAGCAGCTGCAGGTGAGGGCTCTCCCGCATCCTCCTTCCTTCTCGGCTTCAACACAGAGCTGGGCAGTGGCCTGGGAGGCAGACCGAGGGCCAGGCCCAGGTGCACGGGCCGGCCTGTGACCCTCAGCACCAGCCGGTCGGGACGCGCAAAGGGGCGGCTCCTGTGCTGGGGGGAGAAGAGGGGCCCTGGGCCGGGACGCCGTCCACTCCCCTCTGTCTGGGCCGGTGACTTAGTAAACGACGGTACAGGGGAGGCGACCTCAGCATCCTCGTCCTTGCTCTGCCCTCCCGCCTCCCGGGTCTCTGACGGCTTCCAATAGATTAGAACATCGTTACTAAGTGAAGCTTAGAACCCTGTCTGGTGTGACCATGAGGACGATGTTGTGATCATCGTCACGGAGGATCCATTGGAGACGCCCAGTTCAATGCGCCGAGTGGTTGGAAAGGCGCTGACTTAGGGCCCTTTGCTTCTCTCTAGACCAGCGGTTCTCAACCTGTGGGTCGCGACCCTTTGGGGGTCGAACGACCCTTTCACAGGGGTCGCCTAAGACCATCGGAAAACACGTCTATAATTACATATTGTTTTTGTGATGAATCACTGTGCTTTAATGATGTTCAATTTGTCACAATGAAGTTGGGGGTCACCACAGCATGAGGAACGGTATTAAAGGGCCGCGGCATCAGGAAGGTTGAGAACCACTGCTCTAGAAGCTAGGGAGTGTCTCCAGGCAAACTCGGCTCTGGGATGAGGTTTGGCCTAGAAAGCCTGGACACTGGCCTCAGGCCAGATGTCCACATCACAGGTCACAACACAGGTCATAGGTGATTACACACGTCATTGCACAGGTCGAGGTCATTGCACAGGCCGCAGGTCATCACACAGGCCGCAGGTCATTGCACAGGTCGAGGTTATTACATGGGATGCAGGTCATTGCACAGGTCACAGGTCATTACACAGGCCGCAGGTCATTGCACAGGCCGCAGGTCATTGCACAGGTCGCAGGTCATTACACAGGCCGCAGGTCATTGCACAGGCCGCAGGTCATTGCACAGGTCGAGGTCATTACATGGGATGCAGGTCATTGCACAGGTCGCAGGTCATTGCACAGGTCACAGGTCATTGCACAGGTCACAGGTCATCGCACAGGTCGAGGTCATTGCACAGGTTGAGGTCATCGCACAGGTCACAGGTCATTGCACAGGTCACAGGTCATCGCACAGGTCGAGGTCATTGCACAGGTCACTACGAGGCTGCCCAGGCTCACACCCGCACGTGCACAGTCACCGCGTACTTTTCCCTAAATGTTGCGTCTGGAAGCCCTTGGAGGGGCTGCAACCTCCAGTTCCCAGCAGACCCGGCGTTTCCTCGCACCCAGCGCCGTCCCCGCTGTGGCTGGCCTGGTCCCTGGAGGCACTGGAGTTGGGGACCCATCGCCCTTGGCAGCAGGAGGACAGGGGTGGCCCCGTGTCACACGCTGGTGTCCCCTTTCTCGGCCGTTCTCCCCTCGGAGCCTGTGCCCCGAGCTGGGAACCTGGACGCTGGCGGTGCCTGCGGGGCCCCTGGAGGAGCCGCATCTCCCGCCCGGGCCCCGCACGGTCTCTGCCCGGCAGGAAGCGCTCAGCAGGGCCCTGTCCGGGGTAGAGATGCCGCAGGTCGCCCAGGACGTGGGGGTCACCCCAGGGGTCGCACACTCGCTGTTGGAAGACTTCTCTGTCCCTGCACCCAGCGCCCGCCTCCCTCTCCTCCTCGCCCCCGGCGGGATCTGCTGCCCCCGCTGCTTCCTGGTGTCCACACATCCCCCTTCCTCTCTTTCACCGGCTCCGTCTGCGTTTCCGTCCGCGCGCTCACACGGCACACACTCCTGCTGGGCCTCGGGCTGTGCCGGCTGCTGGTGGTCTGGCTGGGGCTGCACGAGGATCACCCTCTACTGGTCCCCGTCCCCGTCTTTCCTGCTTTATTTCACTGTCATCCAAAGTTATTTTATTGGCCGGCTGGTGTTTCTCAGTGGTTAGAGCATTGGCCCCTGGACCAGGGGGTTGTGGGTTCAATTCCCGGTCAAGGGCAGGTACCTGGGTTGCAGGTTCGATCCCCAGCCCCGGTCGGGGTGTGTGTGTGGGGGGGACCAATCGTGTCGCTCTCATGTTGATGCTCTCTCTCTCTCCCCCTCCTCCTTCCCTTCCACTCTCTCTAAAAATCAATGGGGAAATATCCTTGGGTGAGGATTAACCAAAGAAATGTAAAAAGAAACAGGAATGATGCCAGCCCTGGTGCCCGAATGCCCTCAGCTTTGGTGCCACCTGTACAGGAGCTGCCGGGCAAGGGTGTTCCCCACCCACGCTCCTGTGTGAGCCTTGCCACAGCCGTGTGCCGACTGGTATGTCCGCTGGGAAGGGGGAGGTCCCATTTTGGTCTAAATGCAGTCGCCAATCCAGACAGCGATTCTGCTGTAGGTAGCCTCCCTTCCTGTCACCTGCTGCAGAGCCTGTGGGCAGCTTACCTCGCTTCGATGGGTGGAGGGTTGTTTTTGCTTCTGGTTTGCAAGGTCGTCATAGGGGGGGGTCATAGAACAACCTCGTAAAATCTGCTCTGGCTTTCCGATGGCGGTTACACATTCCGTGGCCACGCACAGAATGCGGCCATAAAATATCTATGCAGTGGGTGCTCTACCTCCAGTTTGACCCCCAGGGTTTTTCTGTCGCTTTGCCAAGAATGTGGACATGCTGGAGCATGAAATTCATGGTGCTATTTTCACAGAAGCTCAAAACAGCCCTGGGCAAGAATAGCTGTGACCCACACTGTTCTTGATGTCTCTATTAATGCAGAATGTTGGGCAAGAGAGCTTGGGGCACGGTAGGTGTTAAAATGAACATCCCTTCAAGACATTCATTTATGGGCTGTGGGCCTCGGCCCAGGGGCAGGTGGTAGGTTGGTTCTATTTTCTGTGGATTCCTTTCCTGGAAATGGGTTTCTAAATTCTCCGTGCCTCTCAGAGGCCGCGTGTGGGCAGAGCGAGTTTAGACCATGCAGGGCCCAGCTTATGTCCACTTCTAAGAATGAATGAAACGTCTTTAGGCCCCTGTGTCCTTCCATTTGGAAAAGGTCAGGACCGACCTCCTCTCTCTTTGGAAAGATAGGACAGGAATTTAACTGGGTCAGGACCGAATTTGTCTTCAAATCTAATGACGTTGCTACGTTTTGGAGACCCCGGTATGGCCTATAGATGCCCCAAAGCTAAGCTGCAGTGTGGTCTTGATTATTACCACCGGAATGAGGAATCTGTTTCTATACTCGGGCATCGAGTGGATGCTGATGGGAATCACAGGGATGGGTAGGAAGCGGGCTTGGCAATGGATTGGCCGGAATTGGAGCTCAGCTCCACACCCAGCAGTTCCGTGATCCGGGGAATGAATGCTATTCGCCCTCTCTAAGCCTCACTTCTCGGCACTGCAACGTGGAGATAATACCTCGCCCGCGTCACTGTTGTGGGGATTAGCTGTGAGAACGGCAGCGCTGGCACAGTGCTCGGCAAAATGATGGCTCAGTCCACGTTCACTCTCTTCCCTGGTGAGCTGTTTGCTGAGCGAAGCAGTGACGGAAGCACAGTTCTGTGCCAAATGCAGGAAGAGGGGCATCTCTTCGGAGCTTTGAGTTCGGATAGAGTTCGGAGGCCGTCGCCTTTTAAGGGACTTGAAAACAAGGCGACTTTTTTTAAAGCAAATTGAGCAATAGTCTCCCCCCTCCCCCCCCCACCCCAAGTCTCCCGTCGAGTCTGAGCCGAAGGGACAGGTGTCTCGGTGCACACTGACCGGGCCTCTCCTCGGACAGTGTCTGGTCAGTGCAGAGCTGAGGTCAGCCCCACGAATAAACAGCGTGTCGCTCGAGCTGGGCACTAGCATGTCTTGTATCCGAGCGACCCTCCGGACACTTCCTTTAGGTCTTGATCAACAGGTCCCTTTGGCTGGGAAGGAAACCGGGAAACGGAAAGGAAGTCAGCCTCCAGGGTTCTCAGCCATCCGGCGGGAACGGCTGCTTCTCCCTCTCAAACATGCTGAAAAGTCTCCTCCAGTGTCTCTGGCTGCTGGGACCACAGAGGACACATATAGATCTGTGGAGCTTTAGAATGGTACCTTTTTTCTTCTTTTCTTTTCAGGAACCCAGGGGTCATTAAGGTGTGCCTTGTAGGAGAAGTTTGAGACACCCTGGAGTTGTCACCCTTGGCAATGCTTATGCCAACGGGAATGACTCACATACTCGTTCCAGGGTTAGATCAGGCATAGAGACCCGCACATCTACTAGTGCCGACGTTGACCATCATGCAGATACTATGAAACATCAGTTCTTAAAATGCTTTAAAAATAATTAAAATTCTAGATAACAGCATTTTCAAATATTGCAATGAGTGCTGAGTATTTTTTCCATTTAGTTTTAACAAATTATGCTTGTTAATTTGGGGTCATTAAAGTGCAACATGGCCTTAGCCAGTGTTGTTCAGTGGACAGAGCGCCGGCCTGCGGACTGAAGGGTCCCGGGTTTGATTCTGGTCAATGGCTTGGTCCCCAGGAGGGGGCATGCAGGAGGCAGCTGATCAGTGATTCTCTCTCATCACTGATGTTGCAATCTCTCCCTCTCCCTTCCTCTCTGAAATCAATAAAAATATATTTTAAAAAAATAAAGTGCAACATAAATTGAAACCACTCTGCCCCCCTCCCCCCAATGAAAGGTAACACGAGAATTAAGGAATAAATACAAAGTCTGCTCGGCAACCATAGAATATTTAGCTTCCTAAATATACCTCGTGTGTGGGAAGCTGGGAGGAAAATTAACTTCTTACATTGTCAGGGCGGACGGGCCAGCAGCACTTGAAGGAGCCAAGGGGAAAACGGAAACACTGAAGCTGGCTCTGCCCGGTGGAGAGGTTTGGCCGGGGCCTGTCCCCCGGGGCCCTGTCCAGGGACCGGGGCCATTTCAGGAGGAGCTGCCCACACCGGGCCGGCGGACAGCGAGATGGGGT